AATAAATAATTTGATTAATATAATTAAATGAAATATCACTTAACTGACGACATGCAATTTCAGCGTATTTATCTTGTAGTCGAAAATGAGCGTCCTGCCAATCCTTCACACACATTAACGCTTCCAAAACATCTTCTTTCAGTCGGTTCCTGACATCAGTCAAAACCCTTTTACCTGCACTAAAAGCAGACTCCGAAGCAACAGTGCTAACCGGAGGTGTCAATAGATCTTTCACAATTGCAGAAACAATTGGCCAACGTCTTTCATACTTTCGCCAGAATTCAATTACTTCTTCTGAAGTTTTTTTAATTGTTCTGTCTGTTGGCATATTATGATTGAAATAATCAATTAATTCGGCAGGCATCGCATTTTGAGTTTCGGCCGATGTTTGAGGAGATGCAGATGTAGACGACATGGCACTAGATGTACACATTGCAGTTGCATCATATCTAAATGTATTAATGCCCTGAAATAAATTCATTATTTCCGCAGCATCTTCTTCAATTTCAGCAGGAGTAAGTGTAGTAGAGGGTACCCGACTAACATTTGCATCCATTCTTTCCGTATATAAATCATACATTCCACATAATGTTTGCTCTAAATTCTTATAGGTGATAGGTGTATCAAGTATTAAAGCTTTATTGATTTGATCAATTACGTATTTAGTTCCCTAAATATTATATCGGGGGTCCATTGCACATGCTAAAGGAAATAACATAGGCAGTTCTTCCCAATATTTTCTAAACTTTAATTCCATAGCAATTAAAATTTCACTAAAAGCAGGATCATTTTTATATTTATGGAATGTTCTTGCAATTATATAAAGGCGTTCAAGCACCATACAACTTGTGGGATAATAAACGCCAGATAAAATCTTTGTAGTCTCATAAAAAGATGTCAAAAATCGTTTAACTTTCAAAACTAAAATCCAATCGGATTCATTTAATATATCATCATCATCACTTCTAACATGTCTATTATTATAAAAGTCAGTTATTAAACTTTCGAAACATTCACATGATTTTAATAGCAAGTATGTAGAGTTCCATCTATGATCTACGTCGCTAACAAATGTTTTAGCAGTCATCACCCCTAATTCGGCACAAAAATCTTCAAATGCTGTTTTCTACTAGGAGAAATCGTAATATAAACTAATGCATTCCTAATCCTTTGAAGTTCATCATTTATATGTTTTAAACCATCTTGCACAATTAAATTCAAGATATGACACAAACAACGAATATGAAACAAATACCCACCAAAATCAGGTTGAAGTGCCCTACACAATTTATCGACGACTATCTTATTAACGCTAACATTATCAAAAGTAAAAGATCGAATTTTACTCTCACAATGATATTCTATAACAATACTGATAATATTTCTATGTCCTGACTTAAAAAGGCAAAAATTCAGGGAAATACAGCTAAAAGTTAAAATTAATTGCAAGTGGGTGGGGGCACTTGGACCATATAATAGAAAATAGAAAAGAAATTTTAAAACATCTGTGTAACAAGCATTTATTTATTTAGAAAGAAAAGAGAAATATGCATCTGAAAAACATTAATGTAAGAAAACAATAGGTGTTGCCGTTGCTCGAAGTGTGGATTTATTATCCACTTAAAAGATTTCACCAACAAAAATCAAAATTTATAAAAAAAAAAAAAAAAAAAGTTTTGTTTTTTTTAGGAAAAAAAAAAAAAAAAAAAAAAAAGAGGAAGAAAAAGAAGAAGAAAAAAGGGAAAAATTTGTCAATGTGTAAGGAATTAAGTGCTCTATCCTATTGGTCTTGAATTTCTCAATTTTGAAAGGTAAGTAAAAAGTTACTTATTGTTAAGTTATGTTTGATTTTGTAATTGTTAGATTGTTAGGGTAAATTTAATTTTATTGAAGGGGTTAAGTGTAATAAACTATGAAATTGAATAAAATGAAAGAAAAATTAATTTTAGTAATTAAAGAGACGTTAAAAATCGCCTAAACGTGAAATAATTATGTTTAGGTATCGCCTATTTAATTATTGAAATTAGTTAATTGTTGATTTAAAAATTATATTATATTTCAGGCGGCGATACGGATACCAGGACAGCGTATCAATCGAGTTGATTTTGGCATACATAGTTCTGTGAGTGGAAAAATATAAATATTTTTAAAGTATTTATAAATTAAGTTTATTGTTAAAGTATGTGCAATTATATACAATTATGTGTTCGAATTACATGATTTTTATGGAAATATCTTTTATTATGAGACATGTGGGATTTCAAAGATTGTATACGTTACATTGTGAATTGGAATATGAGATATGATTTTGAGATCGACCAGAAAAGTACCCATGATTATATATTTCTTCTAGTTCACTGAGGGGCTTTGGCCGTGTTCTATACTACACTAAGGGGTCATGGACTGGGGATGAAGGGGTCTCGACCGTGTACATATAGTTCACTGAGGGGCCTTGGCCGTGTTCTAGAATTGATTTTGAGAGGTCTTTGAGACCGACTTTCATTCACGGAGGGGCTAAA